GTTCGAAGAAGAACATGAAGTTCACCGTAACCTGGCCTCGTCAGAGCAGTACTCGAGAATCAGCGAGAAGGGGGAATACCAATATGTGTCTGGAGTGATGGGAATGGCCTACAACCCCTTCTTAGACTCGGAAGCTGGAGGCGCCCACAGGAACCATGAGGTAGCGGAGCTACTGAAGTTTTGGACAGAAAGAATAATGGAAATAGACGCGGTGGAAAAAGAGGGGCCGAGTCTGGGCCTGATTCTTGAGAAAACACCAGAGGTGGTGAGCATACCGCATTCAAACAAGAGAGTTGAAGTGAACATGGGCGATGGAAATGGCTTGTTAACCACGAACCTGGGAGTGGTATGGAAGCTATTAAGACCCTCCTGGTGTCCACATCCCCACGCGAGTCTGATCGAAGAAACCACCGAGCGAGTGAGGTTAGCACCAACGGAAGATGAAGATCTGGCAAAGTTGAGTGTGCTGCATAAGCTAATTTCACCTCAGATGCAAGAGCCAGGCGAAAAGACTAGTAATCCCGGGTCAGCAAAGAAATTGGAGCCGGGTAGCTGTCTGGATTCGACGTGTGGAAACGGAGAGCACACCTGCGATGGACGGTCATGCGTTAGAATACTGTCATTTCAAAAAGAAGACCTGGTCACTTGGTTCGAAGACATAACAGAAAGGGAGAAAAGTGAAGTGCAAATAGTAGCGGAGTGTTACGCGAGAACCACGGTGAATATAGCGACAGCTCTCGGATTCTTCTCGAGAATGTGTAGTCTGCAGTCACTGGAAAGACTAGAATCTGAACATCATTTAGTGACGGCGTTGAGCGTAGAATCATGGCCCGGGGTGTTGCAGGTGACTCAAAAACACATCCGGAGCTGGAAGGTTGGTCTCGAGGCGGAAATGGGATTTCCCATGAGCGAAGCTTATGGCTTGCCATTGAACGCGAAATCGCTGATAGGGTCAATGATGGCCACCTTGTGCGGAAGTCACTACCCACTGCACATGGTGATGGTGGAAGCATCCAGCCAGAGAGTACTGGTGGACAAGGCCTTCTCAGTGCCCAAGTGCGTGAGGTTGGCTCGGATATCGCATCACTCGCACAAGTTGTTGAGAAAAATCAGAGGGACAATACCAAAAGAATTGAGAGATGACTTGAGTGAAATCTGGGGAGAAGAACTTTTGAAGTTGGAGAGAGAGAACACAAGCGATCACGAGAGACAAAACGTGATCGGAAAACCTGTGGAAAGTGCTCCAAACCTGGAAGATAACGACACGATGCATGAGAAAATGATGGAGCTTGAGCCTCTCTTGGAAGCCTCGGGGGAGCGTAACCTCAGGAGCATTGAAATCACCCATGGAGAATGCCCATGCCACTGTTTAGCGCAAACGGTGTGGTATCCAGATCACAAGAACCTTTGCCTGGTGTGGGATATGGAGGAAATCCGGTCGATCGGACTACCGGATCACCGACAGAAGGTGACGATCTTGGTAGTGAGTACGATCTTGGCTCTGAGATGGATAGAAGAGAATATAACGAAGTATCGGGAAGCGGGGACGCCAACGGCAGAGTCAATATACGCGATAGACTACAGTAGGAGACTCGAGTTGTTTGAGACTGCGTGCAAGGTATTCGCCATACCAACGGAAGTCAGACATGTCTGGAGCCGTTTGAGGTATTTCCCATGGTTTCGGGCGACGCTGACGTCCTGGTTGTACATGACAACGAAAGATCACATGAGAAAACATCAAAAGGAGTATCGACAGTTCCAGGCCGAGATTGGGCCGGAAGCTTTCAAGAGACCACTGTTAACCCATCGTAATGCAATCACGACAGGATGGAAGAGAGTGGGTAAGATGTCTAGAGACAATACCAAGGCGAGGGAATCGATACTAGAGGAGGACCTGGCGAAGAACGTGAGCTTGAGCCTGCACAACTCCTTTTGTTTGAACCGGGAATCTAGGGTGAAGGCACTACCCAACCAAGCAAAGAGGTTGCAAGAGCAAAGAGAATGGATGCGATCCTACGAGCAGCTGAAGGCTTGGGAGGAGATTGTGATTAGCTCCGATGATGAAGAGGAACTGTTGAGACAGTTTGCCGTATCTAGTACTTCAGGGTGCAGTACCTCCAAGGCGAAGAGTGCGAGATGAGCAGGTGGCTCGAATGGATCTTGAGTCTTGAGAGGGAAAGGGGGGCTTGAGCGTGGATCCGGGTGAAACTTGGATTCACGAAAAAGAAGTTTTAACAAAGCAAATATTGTTATTAATATACTATATTTATTATATAAATCAAAATGCTGCATGACAATTTCCTGATTGAATAGGACAAAAGAAATTTTAAATGATTGGCTTGGAAAGCAAGAATTCAAGGGTGCAGGTGTGTGCAGATTTTGATTGCTGTTTAGCGATAGTGTGAAAATTTTACATGGCTGTGAATTTTGGGGTGTAGATAAGCTTAAGTCTGCTGCAAACTTCTGTAAATGACCACTGGCACTGTATCTTGAGTAACACTCGGTTTTCTGGGACTCACTGGCAGAAGACAGCACGCGATGAGGACATCGATCTCGAGTCCGGGGAGTATGTGCCAGTCGGTCATATTCGGAAGTTTGACCTTGAGAGAAGCAAAAAACACTTGATTTTGGAGTGAAATTTAATTTTTCAAAATTTCGAATGGAACCTGTCATGCACGATTTTCTCGCGATAACTGAAAATCAGAAAAGAGAAGTCAGAACAATCGAGTAACAAGCGCGGGAAAGTTGCTAAATAAAACGGTAGGAAATTGCTATTCGCAATTTCTGTCACAATAGAACAAGAGTAGAGCTGTCCCATCTGAAACAGAGACAAGCGTATTCCCGAGAACTGGATTGTCATTACTCGATTGGATTATTATTTGAACTGGACTAGAGTGAACCTTCGGTGGAAAGGTGGACAGCTTGAGTGTCCCAATGGTTCACGAGAAACTATATCCTAGAGTTAAAACTTGTCCTTGTCATTGAAACTGATAAACATTAAAACTCATTTAGTTACATTATTTAATTCTCGAGTTGATTACCGACTGAAGTACTTCCCTTTCTTGAGCGTGCTACGATGTGAGTACTTAATTTAAATTTCTAGAGTGTGTTTTATAATTGTTATGTTGAGGTAAGGCGAGTTTTAGGTTGATCCATCTGAAATGGATCAAAGTTCCACTGTCTAATAAAAAGTAACTTAACAGATTGTTCCAACCCGGTTTTTAACGGCGTTCATGTATTTTGGGTATCTAGAGACCTAAGTATGGGGACGTTTCTAATTCTAGAGTGGGGGATATTTTAGTAGTAGCCTTTAAGCTGTAACGGGTAGTAGTCTCATGTCACAAACGAACCGAACTGGCTCCGACCGTTCTTGAGGTAGAAAAACACAAGAGATGGTGTCCCTGACCCTTGAGCCAGTGGTTATAGGGCCTATTTTTCTTAAGCCTCATGTGTGACTGCAGTAGACGAATGTTACAGGGAAGAAATTGTGATCAGTTCTGATGATGAGGAGGCGCTACTAAGACAGATCACGGTGTCAAATTCATCAGGTCCTAGTACGTCGAAGGCTAGGAGCACAAAGTGAGCAGGGAGCTCAATGTGGGTTTCTCGAGTATTGAGAGGGAAAGGAAGTGGCTCGAGTGTCAACTCGGATAAAATCCGAGGTCACGGAAAAGAAATTTTAATGAAAACAAATTTATGTTATTTATATGCTATAGTTATTATATAAACCAAAATGCTGCATGACAATTTCCTGACTGGATAGGACAAAAAAAATTTTAATCATAAGCTTCAAAAAGGGATATTCAAGGTGCAGGTATATGAAAATTTTGATTGCTGTTCAGCGATAGTGTGACAATTTTATATATTGGTGAATTTTGGGATGTAGATAAAATTAAGTCTGCTGCAAACTTCTGTAAATGACCACTGGCACTGTATCTTGAGCAACACTCGGTATTCTGGGGACTCACTGGCAGGCGGCAACACGCGATGAGGACATCGATCTCGAGTTCGGGGAGTATGTGCCAGTCGGTCATATTTGGAAGTTTGACCTTGAGGAACACGAAATACGCAATTTTGGTAGGAAATTTAATTTTTCAAAATTTCGAATGGAGCCTGTCATGCTCAACTTTCTCGCGAAAACTGAAAATCTCAGAAATAGAAGATCAGAACATCCGATTTACAATCGCGGGAAAGTACCTAAAAAGCAGTGAAAATTGCTATTCACAATTTCCAGATACAAAATAAACGCGAGTAGAGTCGTCTTATCCTAAAATAGGAGAAGAAACGATTGCGAAAGAAGAACACGATTATTCGAGCTGAACTAGAGTGAACCCTCAGTGGAAAGGTGGACAGCTGGGGTGTCCCAATGGTTCAGACCAAAACTTCATTACTAGAGTCAAAACTTGTTTTCCTTATTGAAACTAATTAGTATTAAACTCCTCAAGTTATCATACTTAATTCTCGAGTTGCTCATTAATTTAGTTACCTCTAATTACCGAGTGTGCCGACATGTGAGTTCTCAATTTAGTTTTCTTGAGTGTGTTTTATGATTGTTATGTTAAGATCAGGCGAGTTTTAGGTTGATCCATCTGAAATGGATCAAAGTTTCACTGTCTAATAAAAAGTAATTGTGCGGATTGTTCCCACCTGTTTTTAACGGCGTACGTGTATTTTGGGTATTTTGAGACCTAAGTATGGGAACGTTCTTATTTTCTAGAGTGGGGGTATTTTGGTAGTGGCCTTTAAGCTGTAACGGGTTTTTAGTCTCATGTCGCGATCGAACCGAATTGGCTCCGACCGTTTTGAGGTAGAAAAACACGAGAGATAGTGTCCCTGACTCTTGAGCCAATGGTTATAGGGCATATTCTTCTTAAGCCTCATATGTGACCGAAGTAGGCGACTGTTACATGACATTTTTTATTAAAAAAATTGTTGCTCGAATAAACAAGCAAAAGAATTTTAATTTCTTTCTATAATTTTCTAATGTTCTAATGAATTTCAGAGCTACAATGGGGATTACGCATTTAGCAAAATTGTTGGCAGAAAGAGCACCTGGTGCAATCAAGGAACATGAAATGAAACTTTATTTCGGACGGAAGGTATTGATATGCTCATTTAAACGAGTTAGTAATATATGAAGCAGCTGCGTTTTGTTGTTACAATAAAAGTTCCTTCCGTTTATTGTAAAACCTCAATACCTCTAGTTTTTGTCTGAAACAAAAACTCGGCAAGGGAGGGGGCCAAATCGACTAGTTTGAGGGGAAGCGCACTTCAAAATTTAAGCAAGTGCTCAAAAACATAACTGCGACCCAGAATTTTTTCCAAAATAGTTTTTTTTTCCAAAATAGGTTGGGCAAAGTTATCAAATTGGTTGACCTAAAAAATCAACAGAAAACATCCGCCAATGAATTTTTTTCCGCACGCCATGGTATAATACCAGGTATTATGATTGTTTTTGAAAGTTCTTTACATTTGATGCTTTCATGTAATACGCAAAACACATTTTTAATTTTTCCACCATATTAATTTCCACAACTAAACATGGATAGCCGGTAACTGTGCAAGTAGCATAGAATGTTCCGACCATAGATTTGAAAAAGACAAAAACTTTTTCAAATGAATGTCGCTTGTTCTGCGTGTCAAGGTAACTGATCTGAACAAAAAACTAGAACTTAGGCATATTCGACAGTCATAGTGAAATAGGCGAATTGCACTTCAGTTTTTGAAGAAAAAAGACCAAAAACAAAACAAAAAAAATCATTAATTTATGAAATGGTGATTCAATTTCAAGAAATGATATAAAACAGAAAAATCAAATAACTGCGCGGTTGTAAACACTGAAAGTGAAGGCAGTAACTGAGATGATAGACAATCCGCTGCAGTTGCACCAGTATCGGGCTCGCAACTGCGTAGCATTACATCGTTGAAGTCACGAAGAGCTGCTGGAGGAGGTAAGACGCAGTCAGTCGAGAGTAGCGGAACCAGGAGCGGTCAGCGGCCATGGAGGCGACCCGTCACAGGTTTTAAGCAGCGATCGGGGACCAGCCACAGAGAGCTTCGACTGAAAGTGGGATGACAGTAATGCAGACTTCTTCGCAGGGAAAGCAATGTTTGGATATCTCCTGGTTGTCGGAGATCTCAAGGGCGTAACCAGCGGAAGTTCCAACAAGAGAGAGGGTGGTTGGCGGTAAAGAGCTTATCACTGCCAATTCAAGAGCGGCGGGACGAACTCGGGATCAACCGTGAAGAAAGTTATCGCATGGACGAGAAGCGTGTTCCTGAGTTTGGCTTCTTCGATCACGGGGCTAGAGCGGTCTTGGAGGCGATGTTGAAGATTGTGTCGCGAAGGCGGTCGTGTCGATAAGTTTGATCATCACCTGCCGAACAAGCAAGAGCTTGGTCGCCGAAAACTTCATGGTTTTCGAAAAGTTGGTGCTAACAGATTCCTTGCCAAGAATAGGGATAACCAGTCTGTAGCACAGGGCAATCCGGAAATCGACTGGAAGAGAGACCGAGGACTTTGAGGGGGACAGCTGAGAGCTAGTGACCCTGTTGGAGAGGGAGCACGTCAGCAACCTGGCCTTCTGCCGGTCCGAGGTAGACGCAGAGAAAAGCTTGGAACAGGAAGAGCTATTAACAGTGTCCGTCAGCTTTGTTTGGGCCTTTGCAGCTAGAGAAATGAGGGTTTTCATGTGTCCAGCGTCTACGTCGCGGAACCACCCGGGACTTCAAAATCTCGGCCAATGGGACCCAATCTATCCACGATCTGTCCTTTTTATGGTTTGGCTCCACAACGTCTTCCAACGAGCCGGCATCGAAACAAACCCTGGGCCAAAGTGTCCATGCGGAGTCTGCACGACGAATGTAGCCTGGAACTGCTACTCAGTCCTCTGCACCGACTGCAAGCACTGGATTCACCTGAAGTGCTCGGGCTTGAACAGCACCAAAGACTACAACAAGGATTTCCGATGCAGAATCTGCTCATTTCCCCAGCCACAAACTGACCCTCCGACCACACCCATCGTCTCTCGGAACAACTCGGAAGATTTCAAGATTCTCCAGCTAAATTGCAATGGGATCAGAGGGAAAATCGACGAGATCATCCACCACATGAACGAGAAGAAACAAGATCCTCCACCACATGTCTCAATTGCAGCATTCCAAGAAACCAAGCTACCGAAGAACAGCAAACTCTCCACTCTGGTTGGGCATGTGTCCGCACTGACAGGCCGAAAGGCAAAGGAGGAGGCATAGCACTTCTTGTGAAAAAGAATGGGAAATTCACAGTAGGCTCACTTTCGACTGCGCCCAACGACGACACCATCGAGCAACAAGCAACTGCAGTCAAGCTCGGCAACAAGGACTTGATGATTGTCAACTGCTACATACCACCTCAATCGTCATGCAACACCAGGTACAAAGCGTCCCTTCAGCACCTGGCCACTCTCCAAAGAACTCTGCTTCTTAGAGACATAAACGCCCACAACGAGCTCTGGGACACAAGAGGAAACAGACACACGAGGTGATGACATTGCGAAAGAAATCATCAATTCCGACTGGGTTATATTGAACGAAGATATCCCCAACCGCTCTCCGGTGAATGGCCCGGAAACCTCTCCTGACATCTCTCTGGCTATTAGCGACATTGCCACCATTGCGAGTGGACCGTCTCGACTGAGCTGACCAACGACCACCTCCCGATCGGCATCAGTCTTCCCGTCGACGAGTACAAGACGTTCGACAACCCCAGAAGATGTTTCATCAACTTCAAGAAAGCCGACTGGGAAAGCTTCGCTAAAGAATGCGAAGAAGAGTTTGCTAAGCTCCAGGCTCCACGTGATGCCATCAGTAGCGAGAAGACTTTCAGGCACATCGTGAACAAGGCTTCGGACCACCACATCCCTCGAGGCAGAGTGAAACACTTTGAGCCGAACTGCCTCCCGACTGAGGCCATCGAAGCTGCCAACCTGCGCGAAAGACTTCGCACTGACAACCCGTCCGACCCTCGCATTGGAGAGTTGAATGCTAAACTTGCCAAAGTTTTCAAGGACGACAAGCAGAAAAGATGGAGAGAGAAAGTCAGTAGCATCTCCATCCGCATCAAGCCGGCGCAAATGTGGAAATATGTCAAGCACATCAGAGGACAAACCTCCACTCCCGACAACCAAGGCATCAGTTTCCAAGAAATACCCTAAACCGACTCAAGGAAGCTCAGCAACATGTTTTGCAAGCAGTTCGTCCCTCCCCGCAACAGACCCAAAGGATGTCACCAGCACCGCAAGATCAGAAGAAACGCCAAGCTCTGCCTGGACGACGCCCCAACGATTACACCTGAAGTGGAACAGGCTATTAAACGTGCCAAGCACTCGAAAGCAGCTGGTCCTGATAAGATCACCAGCCTGCACCTGAAGAAACTAGGACCTCTTGCCGTTAAATACTTGTGCAACACCTTCCAGATCTCCCTCAAAACTGGCATGATTCCCACAATTCAGAGAAAGTCCAACTTCATCCCTCTTCCCAAACCTGGCAAAGACCACTCTGTTGGCAAGAACTGGAGACCCATCAGCCTGCTCTGCGCCACCGCCAAAACCATGGAAAGAATCCTCCTGCCTCACATCGAGACCGACTCCGTGTTACAGCCGACACAGCACGGTTTCCGCAAGCATCGCTCAACCAACACAGCCCTTCGCCACTTTGTCGCCGACATCACGCGCGGTTTTAACCAGAAGAAGCCTGCCCACAGGACTATCCTGGTTGCGCTTGATCTCACCGCGACCTTCGATACGGAGGATCACATTTGCCCTGCCGAGCGAATCCTGCTCAACCCAGCGCCGAACAGTATCAAACGCTGGATGATTAACTACTTGCAGGACAGATAAGCAAGAGTTGATTTTCGCTGGAAAAGCTCGAAGCCTAGCAAAGTAGAGCCGGTTTTGTTCAAGGCGGTGTCTTGTCGCCACCTGTTGAACCTGCACGTGTCCGACTTCCAAGTGCCTCCGGGAGGAATAAAGGCCATCATCTACGCAGATGACGTGACAATCTACACCTCAGGTCCAAACCCAGATGAACTCGTTGACGGACCTATCAGCTACATCGAAACCTCTGCAGCTACTTCCAGTCACTGAATCAAACATCTCAGAAGGCAAGTCGGCAGTCACTCTTTTCACTCCTCAGTCCGCTCAGACCAACAAGCATCCTCAGGTTCTCGTGCAAAGCAACAACCTGAAACTTGCGAAGACGCCCAAGCTTCTCGCAGTTACCCTCGACACGATGGTCTGCTTTGGAACACACACTAGAGACATCGCTGCCAAAGCACAGAAGATCAACGCCGTTCTCAAAGCCCTCGAAGGTACAGCATGGGGCAGTAACCGCAAAACCCTCATGACTCTGTACAAAACAACTAGCAGATCTGTCATCAACTACTGCTGCTCCACTTGGGCGCCCATCACCAAAGACTGCCGTTGGAAATGACTACAACATGCACAGACCAAAGTAATCCGAATAACAACAGGATGCTACAACATGACGAACATAGATGATCTACACAACGAATCACGAGTTCTTCCCATCAAAGAACACACACATATGCTTGCGCAACAATATGTCGTCACCTGTAACAACCCGAGGAACCCCTGTCACTCACTAAGCAACAAAGCTCTCCCACACCGACCACTGATGAAACCAGACCTGTTTTACAAATACGAAAAGCAGCTATCGAATATACAAATCGATTCGAAAGAAGTAAAAAGGCTACAAAAAGCAATACACACACGGACCGTCAGCGAAACTAGCAGAAACTTCAGAGCGAAACCTGTTTATGGAGACGCACCACCAAAAATACACGAAACAGAGAGTTCCTTGCCTAGAGTCTGCAGAACACCCTTGGCACAACTCAGAAACGGATACTGTCGCTTATTGAACTCATACATGTCAAGAATTGATGAAGAAATAGAAGACGTCTGTCCAAACTGCAACAACCCTGGTCACAAAAAGCAACATCTATTCGAATGCCAGGCCAACACAACAGAATTGACGGTTGATGCGCTCTTGAAGCAACCGGTGGATGCATCAGCTTTTCTTAAACTCGAAGACGATTAGAGACGGCGGCTACAAACAACAAGAGAAATGAGAACAGACAAAACGGATGGGTCGAAGTCCTGCTATATCGAGACGCAGTCTTGAACCGGAGCGTGGATTCAACAAGTGGAATTATCAATGATCTTGTCGGCAAGAGACTCGGTGTCAATAAAACTTCCTAGGAAGGCAGCATGACAGACATAAGAGGCGATCGGAAGACCAATCGCGCCTTTCGAAACAGGCAGCGAAGACTGGATGCGTTGACATTCAGAAACCGCAGAGGCAGTAATGGCTTCGTGGGCAGTATGAACGACGATGTCAAAGTCAGAAAGAGCGGCGGAAGTTGGGTTTTCAGAAAAATTTTTATTTCAAATTTTTTGAAGCTTTTGATCTCCAAAATGTCCATAAAAACTTCAAAAACCGACTTTGCTCGAGTAAAACTTACAACTTAGCAGAAATACGATTATGTAAATAACCTAATTTGACCAAAAAAAGGTCTGCACGCTCACTTTTCTCGAATCTTTTTTTTGAAATATTTCTATGGCAGTCGAATCACAACTGATTTAAGCATTAGTTAAGCTGTTATTTTGCTTCATTACCCTTGCAATACTTAACTTTACCCACTGAATGGCCATTCTAGAAGGAACTTAGTACTAGTAAATTATTAATGTACCACCCACATCTTTTTTGTATCGCTTATGCAGGGTTCGTGAATGTTTATTTCGCCTCTGTGTCAAACTAATTAAATCATCCCCTTACTGGAAAGAAAAACAAGGAGAAACTGCTTGAATTTTCTTTCGTGTATCTACCTACAATCGTTTTCCCTTGTTTGTTTTAAATTTCTTGTAGAAAAGTAAATTTTTCAGAAGTTTCTGCGCTAATTGTACACTGACCGGCTGCCCTTGTTATCTTAATTTTTAGCTTGAAAAGTGTTTTATAAGTTTCGATTGTTGAAGTTTTGCGTCCCTCGAAGAATTCAAGATTGTATCTGGTTCGATGATGGAATACAGATAGATAACAAAAACTGCAGTTAAAAGATCTTTCGATTTTTAAACAGATTGATATTGAATCGTCAAAAAAGTAAAAATGGATGCTGTTTTCATGATAATTGATATTAACCTTAGTAAATGATAATTGATATTAACCTTAGTTTTTTTAGTAAATGTTCACCTTGTCTTGTTTGTAAAAGCATATATCTTGATCTATCAGTTAGCTCTACGAGTAGAATAAAAAGTTTGATCGCTGTCTCGAGAATTTGCTTTAGAAAATGGAATTATTATCCTTTTAGTATGACGGTTTAAGGTGGCAGTGGACGCATCAATGAGTATTTACCAGTTTCTGATAGCAGTGAGACAGGATGGGAATGTTTTGACAAACGAAGCTGGAGAAGTCACTTCGCATCTGATGGGAACATTCTACAGAACCATACGCATGATCGAGAACGGACTGAAGCCAATATATGTATTTGACGGAAAGCCTCCAGACATGAAGAGCAAAGAGCTGAGGTAAACTTTGCTCGTTAATTATTTTCTTCCGCCACACGGAGGAACAAAAGCGGACATGGATGTTATTATCTTGTGTTCGAGAAGTTATTTATCCCATCTACATCGGGAAACCAAAATAATTGTTCAATTTGAAGGTACATGGTTCTAGTATCATATTGCAGAGGTTTCAACAAGCTTATTGCAAAGTTGAGGTCCTCAACTTAACAAATTTTCCAAATCCTTCTTGAAATCGAAGCTTAAACATTTAATTAGTTTGCAATATTATGCTAATGTTCTACTTGTAGAGCAAACGGGTACACTCCTGGTCTTAATTTTTTTGCTGTTTAAGAGTCAATGCAAATAGTTCAGGCTCTTATATAAGTCTTTTTTTTTCTTATTTTTCAGAAGTCTTTAAAATTTGTTTAGGCTCCAATTTACTTTTTCGCTGTTTGACTTTTGATTTTTTTTAACTTCAGTTCATTTCTTCTGTTAAAAACAAGGCAAGCTCCACTATCCAACAGCAAAAATGTAAAGGTCACAAAAAACGTGATCGACTTCTAGTTTCGAAAATGGAATTTGATTATCAGATTTTTTAGCGAGTTAAAACTTTCACCAATTGATCTAGTTTTCAAATTTGGTTAATTTCAACAAAAAAATATCCATCATAAATTGGTCTAGAAATTCAAAAAGCTTTAAGGCCATCAATTTTTTTCTCGGAAATTCAAATGTTGATGTTTTTTTCTGTTAACTTGCGTTCATTGACTCTTTTCCAAATGTCAGTTGGCCATGTTTAATTTTGAATTTAGTGATTATCGCCCTTGTCTGTACGCCAACTTTGTTTAACAAGCATGAAACTCATTAGTGTCTCATTCTGTGACGTCTTCGTAATGGCCTATGAGAAGGCAGGAAAATATGATACTATTAGCTATGTTTTCCGTGTGCAGCCATGCATCATGGCTTAAATGGTTGAACAGGTGAACCATTTATCACCGTGTTTCACGTTGTTATACAACTCTTATACGTTATATATTTCCTTATGGAAATCTTCAATGCTGAATAAAAGCGTGCAATATGGACCAGAAAACAGAGCGGACCGAATCTTTTTTGACAATTCCAGAAGGAAATGTCGAAGTTCTATCAACTAGCAGCTTGACGCCGGTTTTCCCAACGAACGAAAGAGCGCAGCAAAGCGGTATCCGAGAAAGCAAAAGTACGCGGCTTTTATACAAAAAGAGGTCAAATAGTGTCGATTCGCAGCCAGCTTTTGAGCGCAGTTCGCAAGTACAAATCCAACACAGTTATGATAATTTTTCAAACGCTACGCTTAAACCTTTGCTAAAGCCTGAAGTCTCATCAAAATACATTTACGTGACACTAATTCTGATAGCTTGTGGAACTCTATTCGCAATAGCAACTAATTTGGCGAACCCAGTTTTCATTTTGCAGCAACTCGATGAAACAGTTACGGACGAAGTTGGCAAACAGTTAAAAGATCTTGAGTTGGATTCAAAAAATTGCCCTGAATTGTGGTTACCCTACAGAAAATCATGCTACCTTAAGCTACGTGACGAAATATTTCGAAATTTTTCTGTTGCAGATGGCTTGTGCTCTAATGAATTGAATGGTTTTTTGGCGCATCCTAGATCGATAGCAGAATTTAATATTCTGAAGTCTCTTTCAAGTGGAACTTCAACAGATGATATATATTTGTGGCTAGGAGCTAACAGACAAACTGATTCTTGGGTTTCAGTTTTGAACGAGGTGAGGTGAAAGCACTCTTAGCTTCAATTTTCATAAGATTTTATTGTGTACCAAGAGTTTGAACATTTTCTAGGATATTGGCCATGTTCTGGATCCTTTCTGGGAAAATGATTCCATCGAAACAGGAAACATTTCACTTTTAGAATGTCTTGCATTGTCAAATGATGGGTATCTTCGTCCATTGAACTGCTCAGAAGAAGACTATGGAATCGTTTTGTGTGCAATCGATGTAGATTAGCCACACGAACTCAAAATTTGTAATAAATGATTATTAAATGTTAATGAACGAAGTGAAATTTCATTTATTTAGGGCGTTTTTTTCAGAAATTCACGCTGAAATCCGTTTTGGCAGTTTGATTCATGATTTTTTTTTCAATTCATTTGTTTGCTAAATGGAAAGCAAATTTTGTTCTCGAATAACTGAAATTATAACTGAAAATTAAAAAATCAAATTTAACGACAGGGTTTCGGAGTGGATTTTATTTTAATTTTGAGATTTTACAGAGAAATAAAAATAAATACCAGGTATGACATCAGGTCTGTAGAAAATCAACTAGCAAAACTGGGTTCTTCAAGCCAAAAAAATGTCTAAAACGTTCATGAAAATTGAGTAGCTGAGAATGTATTCAGAATAATACCTCAATTTCAAATAGTTTTTTGACAACTTGGGTTATTAAAATTTTATTGAACTCAGTGATTTATCGCTTATTAAGGTCATATCTGTTTGGTCTTCTTTAAAACTTTTTTTTCTTTAATTTACCTTGTAAAAGAAGGCGAAAATGGCTCTCCAATAATAAAGTGCCTTTGGCGAAATAGAACGTGAATGACTCCGGTTTTTAAAATGGAATTTTTGCAGCGGAATGAAAAATACCGTGTTTTCAGTTGCGAAGCAAAGTGTTATAGTACGAACTTTATTTTTTTCCAACCTAAGTCGCAAATATTGTTGCGACTAAAACGCAAATAGTTGCTACATCGAATTGGCAATACGTCGTTACACCTTTACAGATTATTGATAACACGTGCTTTGACATTCGAATAGTTATACACAGTGAAGTTAACCGAAAAAATCTATTTGTTTCAAACAACATAACAATAATAAAATCTCGATTTCAGAAATTTTCTAACTCAATATATCTCGCAATTTTTTGAAATGCATAATTTATACATAATGTGGCTTAATGATTTGCGATTTATTGCATGGAAAATTGTATCTCTATGTATTTGGTGCTACTTTTGCTGCGTCGAATTGGCATTTGGTTAGCATATGTAGCTGCGTTATTGGTGGCTAGTTTTTAAGGATTTAAAGCATTCGTGGCTGAATGGTTAGTGCGTGAGACTCAAATTTGCTAGGTCCCAGATTTTTGCTAATTCGAGTTTTTGCAATTTCGAGGCTTATTTCTACTTTTTCTTATGTCGCTTGATAGAGCTGATTTTTGGTCGCGTTCTCGCAAGTGTTTGTGAAGCGCAGCTTTGCCTCTGTGTTAAAGATAGTGTCAATCAAAAATATTGTTGAAGTTCACAAAGCTTTATCGTGTTGTTTTTTCTCCTAAGTACGAACGATGAAAAGTGTTCAATCATGTTTTATTTGCTGTGTGTTAAATTGTTTGCTTTTATTGGACGTCCAAGAAGCTGAAAAACAAATTTTCGTGGCAGCGGTTTTTCTAGTTTATCGTGTAGACATTTCAAAAAACGGCTGATGTAACAATTGGAAGCCATCCTAAGATAGTTAAGTAGGACAAAAAACAATTATCATGTGCTCAATGTTTTTATTTAAACAAATTGTTTTTATAATAATGATAAAGTATCAGCGTTTTGAAGAGCTTGAAAAAAAGTCAGTGTCATGTCCCGTCATTTTAAAGTTCTTTCGGCTTTTTTGTCTTAGAAACAAATTATTTTTTACCAATTAGGTTGATTTTGTCAAAAAATTGGCTATCATATTTTTTTTTGAAATAAAAGATCTTAAAGTTCTCTTTTCCCGTTTTAAATTCCCGTTTTACTGAGTGCAGTAAATGTTGAATATTCCTATAAGTTCTTCATCGTTGATTTGTGAAACAATTTATGAACCAATGTATGATTGACGACAATCATCCAAAGTTTTATACATTTAGATAAGATGACAGATCGAGTACCTATTGACCATCTCATCCAAAAATTAAAATTTTTAGAATGGCGTTTTTTCGATTGCGTTGCTGTAATTCTCAACTCCTTTTTTAAAATTGAAAACAATTTATATTTGTAGGAAAGGACAATATAACTGTTCAGCTCTATTCGGAGAACCGCTCTTGTAAACCTGATAAAGATTTACATTCACAGGGCTGAGAATTGGTGAGAAACAAATCTGAGCTTCTTATTAAGAGTCGATGAAGGTAGTTCAGACACTCTTAAAGGTCGCCATGATTTCTTTTTTTTTCAATAAAAGTCCTCCGAATTTGTTCAAGCTCATTTAGTTTTTCGCGTTTCGGTTTAAAATTTTTTCAAAGTTTATTTCATTGCCCTTGTTACACCGAAGACTTTAGTCAAGGTGTTATGGTATCGTGTAACGGTTTTTTTTTTAATTGTTGTCTGTTGTCAAGTGTCGACAAATAACGTCCACAGTTATCAATTATCATGTGGGCTGGACTATATCGCGCTATGTCACGTGATTGCGTATGTTTGTTTCTTTATTTGTTCATCTTTATTTATTTAATTATCTGTTCTTCTATTTATTTAATTATGTTTAGTTTGCTTATATTTATTTATAATTTATGTATGTACATATTTATTTTTGTTTATTTTTATCACGTGTTTTGTTTATTTATTTAATTATTCTTTCTTTCATTTAGTTTTGCTTTTATTATTTCTGCGTGTATTTATTTAATTTATTTATTTTCATTTATTTATATTATGGGTCTGTTTGTTTGGTTATTTGTTCATATATATTTTTTCATGTCTATTTAATTATTTGTACATTTCACTTTTGCTTTTATTTATTTATTTATTTATTTATTTATTTATTTATGTATTTATTTATGTATTTATTTATTTATTTATGTATTGATTTATTTTTTTATTGCTTATTTATTTATCAGGTGTGTTTTGTTTATTTGTTGATATTTATTTCTATATTTATTTAATTATTCTTTCTTTCATTTAGTTTTGCTTTTATTATTTATGTATGTGTATTTATTTCATTTATTTCTTTTCATTTATTCATATTATGGGTCTGTTTGTTTGGTTATTTGTTCATATATATTTTTTCATGTCTATTTAATTATTTGTACATTTCACTTTTGCTTTTATTTATTTATATATTTATTTATTTATGTATTCATTTATGTATTTATTTATTTATTTATGTATTGATTTATTTTTTTTATTGCTTATTTATTTATCAGGTGTGTTTTGTTTATTTGTTGATATTTATTTCTATATTTATTTAATTATTCTTTCTTTCATTTAGTTTTGCTTTTATTATTTATGTATGTGTATTTATTTAATTCATTTACTTTCATTTATTTATATTATGGGTCTGTTTGTTTGGTTATTTGTTCATGAGATATATATTTTTTCATGTTAATTTAATTATTTGTAAATTTTGGTGTATATATGTGTTAGTAAGATTTTTAGTTCTACAACGTTTATTCAGGCTCTTTGTCGATATAGCAAAATATTGGTGTATACATGTGTTAGTACGATTTTAGCTCTAGAATTGCTTTTTCAGGCTCTTCGTCAATATAGCAATATTTTAGCGTATACATGTGTTAGTACCATTTTTAGTTCTCGAACTGTTATTTTATGATCTATGTCAATATATCAAAATTTTAGTGTATACATGTGTTATTACGATTTTTAGTTCTCGAACTGTTATTTCATGATCTTTGTCAATATATCAAAATTTTATTATATACATGTGTTAGTACCATTTTTAGTTCTCGAACTGTTATTCCATGATCTTTGTCAATATAGCAAAATTTTGGTGTATACATGTGTTAGTACGATTTTTAGCTCTAGAACTGTTATTCCATGATCTTTGTCAATATAGCAAAAATTTGACGTATACATGTGTTAGTACGATTTTTAGCTCTCGAACTGTTATTTCATGATCTTTGCCAATATAGCAAAATTTTGGTGTATACATGTGTTCGTACGATTTTTAGCTCACGAACTGTTATTTCAGGCCCTTTGTCAATATAGTAAAATTTTGGTGTATACATGTGTTAGTACGATTTTTAGTTCTAGAAGTGTTATTTTATGATCTTCGTTGATATATCAAAAATTTAACCTATACATGTGTTAGTACGATTTTTAGTTCTAGAACTGTTATTTCAGGCTCTTTCTCGATATAGCAAAATTTTGGTGTATACATGTATTAGTACGATTTTTTGTTCTAGAACCGTTATTCTTCAATTATTAGTTGTTAAAGTTGTTTGGTTTTTGCTTCAGTTTCTATGCCTTCGGTGTATTGCGCGTAGCGCCTATGTTTAAAAAAAAGCATTGTCCCAGTGTCGAGAAAAACTGGTTTGAATTTTTTCAGTTAAAGTAATTTCGATTAAATGTAAGCAAGTGAGCAGGCTTTTTATAGAAAAATAAGCCATGAGACTTTAGTTTCAGCAAAATTATTTTTTCGATGTTTTTCTAGTGCCATCTTTGGAAAAAATTTCTAAATTCCAAAAATTCAGATCCTTATATGGCACGACTCGCAAATTTGAACAAACAAAAACATGAAAAAGCGTTTTATGTATTTTTAGGGGTCTGGTCGGAACATTCTGTGCTACTTGCACAGCCATCGGCTATGCTGGTTGTGTTTATGACTGTTTAAAAAGGATTGAGATACGACGGCTTTGTAGGATGTCAACTGTTTGTTTTTTAAATCGCATCTTGCTTTGCAATTTTGATAGTTTTTTCAGTTCATCTTAATATATGTTTCTCTTGTTGAGTGTCTCTTGTTCTTCGATTTTTTGTTTGTTTTTGGCAAGAAGTGTGAAACTCAGATTCGCCCGTGTGTCTATATTGATACCTTTGATCTCCTTTTGTGCAACGTTCTTAAACTATCTACAATTTAATGTAATTCAAGTTTTTTTTGTTTTTGTGAGTATCTTTTTTTAGGTTTCCTTGTAGTTTTATCATAGTTTTCATAGTTTGTTTATATGCAGGTGAAAGGAAAACCTAAAGTGGCTCATTTTGTAGTGGCTCATTTCGTCGACGATATTAGTTTAAAAAATTTCAGACCCTCAAATGCATTAGCAATTTTTTCAGGCAGTTTTTTCTCATTTCCAGTCGGAAACTGACTTTTTGTCTTCTATATAAGCATCGAGATTGCAGTTTTCTCTCATAACATTGGTTGCACTATTTGTCTGAGTTATCTTTTTTCTTTTGTAGAGTCTAAGTTCAGATAATATCGTGAATATCTCTCATATTCCTAGATATTTTACAGGAAAATGTGAGATTTTTTCCTAGAAATTTGCGGGACCTAAATGTAATAATTCAATTTTTTTCAAAGTCTCTGCTTTGGTTTTAATTTTTCTTTTTAAAATCTTTTTTGAATTTTGGAGGTTGTTCAAAATAGTTAGCTTTTTTGGTGCTTGATTTTTTCTGCGTATCAAATGATGCAAATCGCAGTTTAGTCCCTGTGATTGGTGTTCAATTTTAAAAATTGAGAAGCTCCGCTTCTCCTGTGTGTTTACCCCTGCAATAAGCAGGGTATTGCCATCAGATACTAGAATTTTTCCCGTAAATAAGTTGTTTGCTCTTAGAATGGTCAAAAAAATTTTGATACGGTTTTCACATTCTATTGTCTTAGCATGTTATTGTTTCAAAACTAGCCTGATTCTTCTTGATAGATCTGATTTGTTCAACATATTCGATTTTTTTCCGACTTGTGGGTTTGTATCGCAAGTGGTGCGAAGCGCATCTTCACATCTGTGGTTAGACATCTTTTTTTGTTATTTCATTGTTTCATTTGTTAACCGGTTATTTCATTGTTTCAATTGGCTGTTTTTTGGGTTAATTTATTATTTAAAAAGGCCATTAAAAGGCTCATTAATTTGATGTAACATCGCGAAGTTGATGAGCTTTTTTTACTTTTCACTTTAGACCAGTGATGTTCAATATAACCATTTTTTTAACAATAGGTTTAACCAATTGGTTTAAAAAATGGTTTGTTATACTGAGTTGATCAACAACCAATTGGTTAAACCAATTTGTTTAATAAAAATCTGTTTTAACCAATTAAAACTGGGCCATTTATTTGCTATTCAGGAGTGCATTTCGAATCTAAGCAAGGTGAAGGAATCGTTTTTTAACGCCTCTCTAAACCTTTACTCAGTCATGTTCCATCGATAGCAAATTTGGCAAATTAATACAATTTGAGGTTCAACCTTGTAAATTCCCAATCAATATAGGGGGAATATGGATTTTTCATGAACTAACTTTAGAAATAGCCGAGATTCATTCAAAATTGAGCGTTTTACTGAAAAAAACCTTAATCTAAGCAAATACTAGAATACAATGTTTCTATCTTGCATGCAAGAGTAAAGAAACCAATTTTATTTGCGCTATTTCTTGCAATGCATATTTTGTACAGACTCAATTATCAGATTTAAAACATACTTGGGAAGGGCATTCTACGGTTGGCCATTAAGGGGGGGGGGGGGGAGAGATTGTACGGTCGATCCTAATTTGATAACGTCCGCCAAAATTTGCGTTCCGAATACTTAAAGCTTGCATCATTTACTATAAAATAGAAAGTAATTATAATTTGTTTAATCGATGTTTAAAAACAAAATTGGTCGTTAATTTGGTTTAAAATATTTTAATTGGTTAATGGTTAAAAAATCGGTTTTACTTTTTTAACTGGAAATCACTGCTTTAGACGTGTTGAATTCGGAAATAAACATAGCGAACTGTTCTCAAATAATAAATGCATCAATTGGTTGTTCGATGTTTTTAGACTTGTTTATTTGACAATCTGTAACGATTTATTTGACAATCTGTAACGAATATTTTCTCAGTAATGTTTTACTTCGGAAAGATTTAAAAAAGCATCTTTATTCAGCAAGAGAACTGAGAGGAGAGAAGAAGCGGAAGCTGCTCTGAAGAAGGCGGAAGAGGAGGGCAACGTGGAAGAGATCAACAAGTTCAACAGACGCCTGGTCAAGGTCACTAGACATCACAACGAGGAGTGCAAGCAGCTCCTCACCCTAATGGGAGTGCCTGTCGTGTCTGCTCCCTGCGAGGCTGAGGCACAGTGCGCCGAGATAGTCAAGTGTGGAAAAGTAGGTAGCTCATGGGGTTAGCTTTCGTCTGTGATTATGCGTGGTGTATTTTAGGTTGATTTTTAAAGATTTGATGTTTTTCCTGAGATTGTTAACATCATTTTTGTGCGCCTTTATTGCGGACTCAAGCTGATATATTCGTTCTTAATGCAAACAATTAAAATCAAATATAAATTTTAGAATTAGCTTCAAAATGATATCATAAATGAAATATTTTTAATTTTAAGCTTCAAATTTATTTACTTAAAAGTACTTAAAAAATCTGCCTTCTTTAAATAGTGCAAATTACATGCAATTCGGCTTAATTTGACAGCTGTTTATCTTAAGGCTTATGCGATCGGAACTGAAGATATGGACGGTCTGACATTCGGTTCCACGTATCTCCTGCGACATTTGACCGCGAGTGAGTCGAAGAAGCTACCAATCAGAGAGTACTGCTACAACAAAATACTGGAGGAGTTGCAGCTGAGCAAAGAAGAGTTCATTGACCTCTGTATTTTGATGGGTTGTGATTACTGCGAGAGTATCAAGGGAATCGGACCAAAAAAGGCACTGGATTTGATCACACAGCATAGGAGCATTGAGAAAATTGTCGAAAATTTGGGTAATGCACTTGTTTTTGTTTCCAAATTCAAAATGAATAACAGAATAGCGTGGACTTATGAGAAGTTTGTTTCTTTCGACTCTGGTACTAGAGGGAATCGAAGTATTTTTGTTTTTGTTTGTTTTCGGAGACCGTTATGTTTTTCTATTTAGATCAAACTAAATACCCAATACCCGAAAATTGGCAATACACTGATGCCAGACGTCTCTTCATAACACCAGATGTCACGCCAGGTGAAGAGCTGGACATCAAATTCCCTGATGTCGACGAGGAAGGGTTGGTTCAATTTATGGTGCATGAGAAAGGATTTGCAGAAGACAGAATCAGAAATGGGGCGAAAAAGTTATTGAAGGCTAGACAAGGAACACAGCAGGGAAGACTGGACAGTTTCTTCAAAGCTGTCCCATCTCCGATCCCGAAGAATAAGGCAAAGCACGAGAAAGAAAACTCGAAAAACTCACTGAAGAAAGTGAAGGGCGGAGGCGTGTCTAAGAAGACGCCCAAGAAGCGATAAACTTTTTTGTACCTTATTTTTGAAATATGCATTTATAATTGAAGTGAATTTTCATTTGTGAGATTATTAATGCTGAATTGTGTTTGTGCTATTTACGTGCACCTACTGATGTGTTTTAGATTTTGTTTTCGTAATTTAATTTTATTGCTCCTACTTGTCTGCCAGAACAACGAGAAGGTCACATACTTGCATTGTTGTTAAAAAGCAATGTTATAGCAAAGAGAAAACATGGTTACAAAATCGGAAATGCTCAATTTCTGACATGTAGAAATGTACACTACCAAAATCCGCTGTTTGCTTATATCTCTCAAGACTAATATTTAAGAATTGATGAACGACTCAGACTCTAATATAAGTCGTGATGTTTTTTTTTGCTTTTTTTTCTGGAAAAATCTTAAAATAGACTTTTGTTTTCTTGAAATTGACTTTTGATTACTTTTCAGTTCAGTTCATTACACAATGTTGCTTGTGTTATAGTATGATTTTTCTTTTTTCGCTCTATAAATTGAGGCAAGTTTTTTTTTTCAAATTGACTGGTACTGCTAATGCGTCATAATTGGCTTGCGTCACTTAGCAATTATGTAGTCTCATAACTCGCGTGGTTCCCCCACTTTTAACTCTGGCCTAATTTTCTAGACATTTCCAGCCGGTATAGAAATTTAAAAAAGGTTTAACCAATGCCAAAAAACTTAAAATCATTATTTTTAGAATCATTCTCGAACTTAAACTAATGACCTGATCGCTTTGTCAGCTTTACAATGGTTTAACACAAGCTAGAGAACGCTCTGAAAAAGTACAGATCAGTTTTGTCTTCGTAAACGGACATTATGTTTTGTACTCTTTCATTTATTACTCGATACTTGTTCTTTTTTGTGAACTTATGGCCACTCGATGCATCAAAAAAGTTGAGTTTTTGTACGGAAGCGTCTTTTTGCAGGCTACCCACTACTTTCCACATATTTGGGTGGGCTCCGCTGAAATATGATTGAATCCCGAAATGCCATCCCTCGACAATATTTCAACCCGATAAATGTGCTTCGGGGAATGTTTTTTGGAAGGACTGAAGAGCAGCTTGCTCAAAATCTAACAAATTTTTTTCAGACCGGCAGTTGGGTGCTAAATCAATTAAAGCCTGCAGGAAGCGATTGTAGGTTTTTCGGTTTTGTTAGGGAGGAAGGCGTAAATGCAAGCTGGCGCAATGCCAGATACACTAACAGTTTTTCATTATGGTGCTTGTGTTAATTGCAGGATTAACTTTGGTGTGATAAGAGTTAAGATAAGGAATTCATACAGCATTAGATTTAATATTGTTATATTGTTGTCGATTTAAATTGTTTAGTAGTGAAATGACTAAGTGTTAAAAAGTACGGTGTTAAATTGCATGTCATTAAATTGTAGGACACCAACTCGCGTGCGTCGCTTATGAAAATTTATAGTCCCAGTGTTTTCGGTCATATTTTGCTTGTGTATGCGAAGTGCAACTTCGCCTCTGTGTTTAATTAGCTAATAGAAACTCCACGGTCGGACAGCAAAATGTGAAGGTCGCGGAAACCGTGACCAACTTCTAATTTCGAAAATGGAATTTAGTTATCAGGTTTCACAGCGAAATAAAATACCTATTGTTCCATTTTTCCTAAATGAGGTTGTTTTAATCATTTCAAATTTTCTAGAAATTCAAAAATCTTAAGGGCCATCTATTATTTTCGAAAGTTGAGATCATTGGATCATCTCCAACTGTCTGTTGGCTATGTTCATCATATACACAAAAAACCTTACAAAAATGATACAGAAACCTCTTTTGATCAAATTCATCTCTCCTCAACTAAACTTATGCACTGTACTGATTGTCCGCCTGAACTTTGCTATAGTTTTACGCATTACCTGTCTCATCAGTACATAATAAAAAACGTCAGACAGGTACCTCCAGTTTTATTTGGGCTCCTGGTGTTAACTTTTGTTGAGAAGCCATGGCGCAGATGGTAGGACGCGTGATTTTCAATCTAAGGTAGGATGTTAGGTTTCGGCAAAAATTTTTTAAAATTAATTTTTTTCTCCTTTTTTTCCTTGACCTATTTAGAGCTACTCTATGCTTTTTTCGCTTGTGTTTGGGACGTGCAGCTTCGACTAAAAGTATAAAAAGTTGCATGTATCATTGCATTACACAATTACGTACACATTTTGTCCAATTTGTTAAAAACAATTACTGTGGTGGTGAAATGAAAGAATAGCCGGGTCATCTTGTTTAACGGCTATCGCAAAATATCTTCTGTATAAAAGGCAACTTAATGAGAGCTATTTGAGCTGATTTGTGAACTCAAGCTCATAACGCTTGCGATTAGCAAGCGTTATCAAATCGGAACATAGTTTAACAAAATCAGTTGAAACAATTGCGGAGATGCTTAACTCCTGGGTGCAATGTTTGTTACTGGAGTTCCTTGCATAAGTGGCTGCGACCATGTTTTTAGATACAAAAAGTTATAGCCCTCGGAAAAGTCAAAAATTCGATTTTTCGACCGTTTTTTAATTTTTTTTGTTTCTCAAAAAGTGCACTCCCAAATCTGAGTTTTTGGGTTCAATCGAAACAATTTGATCAGGAAAGCTCCCCTGCATAATGAATTACTCCAAGTTTTTCTGACACAAAAGTTAGGTCCCTCGAAATAGACAATATTTATTTTTTTAACGTTTTTTTGAGACTAATTGCAATTTTTTGAAAATTACTCTCTGTAATCTGAGTTTTTGCGTTAAATCGACAAAACAGGTTGCGTGATTTTTTTCGAAAACTTTTTGATTTTTCTCGAAAACCACTCTGCCAATTCTTTGTTTTTTTTGGTCAATGGAGAAACCCAGTTTTCGATATCTTCTCTGCTATGCAGCTACAAACCTCTTTTTGCAGAAAAAAGGTATTGTTTTCAGAAAATCAGCTTTTTGAACGTTTGACCGTTTTTTAAAAAACTTTTGATTTTTCTTATTAACTACCTTGGTGTTCAATCGAATGAACCAGTTGCGAGAATTTTTCCTGCAAAAGCTTATCCTTATTTTTTTTATAAAAGTTCAATTTCTCATAATTTTTCGCCCTTCTTTTATTATTTTAGCAGAGAAACAACTATGGTGTTGGGCAAAACCCTTCGGTGAAATTGCCCATTTCATCCCATATCAGTATAAAAAATTTATCGAAACTTCAGCTTCAGCTAGGCCCCTAGGTATCTTTAACCGAGACATTCGAACATTTTGGTTCTTGTTTTTTTTTCAATATTTTCATTTTTTCTCAATTTTTGTTTATTTTCGTGCTGTATCGCAGGTAGTGCGAAACTCCGCTTCGCCTCTGCGTAAAATTTTCAGTTTTGTTTCAAAAAAATTGCATGCACGGGATAAGCATTAAGAAATATAGAAAAATATGGCATAACAATTAGATTCAATCTATCAGGATTGATATATTCACGTTTCAGCGGAGGTTTCAAGGGGAGCGGTTTTTCAAAAAAGTTTTGTCAACATTTTTTATAGATTTACCCATTTAGTTTTCGTGCTCTCCGAAAATACTGAAAAAATCCAATTTTAAGGAAGTTTTTCAGCGCCACCGGCGAATTTTTGAAAAAAAAACCAGGCTAAAAATGACGCTTTGAGCATTTTGAAAAAAAATCACCTACAATTTGTTTTTATAAGCGCGCGAGCGCGCTCCCTTTCAAGTTTTAAATATATCGGTGCCGATGGGGCTTTTAAAAATATTTTATTGCTGGGCAGCCAGAAATGAATCTCCTAAAACTATACCAAAGAAGAGACATTTTGGAAGTTTTTGGAAACCAGTATTGAGGAGAAAAAGCGGTCGCCCCACACCCCCCTCTGTATGCTACTGTCTAGTTTGAAATACGGACGGATAAAACAATTGATTGGCTGAACATCTGGACACCCGACGGCGAATATAAACTAAGTTCATTTTAATAAATTATTATTGCAGAATAAGAAGATCTTGATAGTTCCAAAAAATGGAAGAAAGTTAATGAAGTTAACTTTATCATATAGCAACATATTTGGTGGCGTTTTTTTTTCAATTTTTCGAAACGAGTACGCGGATATTTGGCACTCTATGGATATTCTAAGAAGCTTTTAAAGTTCCCGGTGATGCATTAACGCACGGAAAAATTGCAACAATTGCTTGAAAAATTCCAATTGCTCATTGATAAAACAGCTTGATAAAATTGGAAATTTGGAAGCATAAAATTAGTCAAACAAATAAAAAAAACAATTTCTGATTTCTGAGTTGATATAAAAAAACCTATTGTCAATGAAAGAACTGAAAATCAAAAGGACTTTTCTGTTGATTTGAGTCTTTTAGCAAACTTTTAGATGATTAGTTCAAGGTAACGATGCCCCTCCAATTCCGTTGTCCTGAGTTTTCTGACAGTGGTTCCACTTCCATCACTATTTGGTGGACTTCGTCACTATCATCTATCTACTGCGTTGTAATCCGTCGCCGTTGATCCTTTCTGCTTTTGTCTTGCGAAAGCGCTGAAATTTCCACTGGCGTATCCCATAAACTTCCTTCTAAGTATCGGTTCCAATTCATCTCAAATTTTTTCTGCTACTGCCGCAATAATCATACAAAGCAACTCAAAGACTTTTCTGACATTTGTGCAAGATTCACACATTTTAGCACTGAGAAGGGCTTAACCACTATCGTCCTCATGCTCTTCACATCCACAGCCACGAAGTGAACCGGGTATCGGTTTTTGCACATAGGAGCCCTATTTGGGCCTACTTGGTATCGAGCTCCAGATGGCCTATGATATGTTTCACTCTGCCTGATATTCTCTTTTTCACTTCTATCGCTACTCTCCATTTTCCGATGTGTTTCTGCTCAGTCTGCAAAACTCCGGAAACACTTCTACGCTGATGGCCGTGAGCATCTCATGCAATTGCTCTAGATTCAATAGTGACTGGAGAGAAACAAACATGCTGTAGAACCCTAATACTTTCACTAGATTCACTTCGGTTCCTCCATGACAATCTACTACTAGTTGTGTTTCCGTCTTTTTCTTCATTACTACATTGCGAGAAACTATCACCAACTGTTTATGCTGCTTCGCAAGTGTCCTCACGCAGTCAAGACCTCCGCAGATGTGACCTTTTATTACATAGACTTTTACAGGACAGCTTCC